ATGAATTTTGTTAGAGCTTTTCATTCTATAATTTCAATGCGACACTTTTTGAAGGAGCACGCTAGTCTTGATGAGCTTCTTTTGTTGGAAGAAGGATTTGGAAACTATCTTGAGGCAGCAGAAATCGCAAAACTAAAAGGTGATATTATACTCGAAGCTGATTTCCTTGAAAAGGCTGGCAATTTCAGAGAGGCATCATTGCATATTCTATTCTATGTGCTTGCCAACTCTCTTTGGTCGCCCGTAAAGCAGTTTTCACAGAAGGAGGAGCTTTTATCAAAAGCCAAGTCATGTGCTAAGAACGAGACCGAAAGCTTTTATGAGTTTGTTTGCACTGAGGTTGAAGTTTTGTTAAATGAGCAGAGTAACTTGTTTGTGTTGAAAAATCACATGGATGCCTGCCAGAGACACAGTAGTGTTGGAGGTGAAATTTTATCTTCTCAAAAAATACTGGATGCTCATCTTTCTTCAAGCGCGGATAAGTATGTGTGGGAAGAAATGTTGGTTGATGATCTGATAAAGTGTTCAGCAAACGGAATATCTGAAAATCAAGTTTCCATGGACTCGTTGATTTACTTCTGGAATTTTTGGAAGGATAAAATTGCTCACATATTTGAATATCTCAGATGCCTTGAAACCCAGGAAGTTAGTGAATACAGAAGTTATGGAGAGTTTTGTTTGAATTACTTAGGAGTTCGGAGAATGTATCATAATCTGAGTCCAGTCTATGTTTTGCTGATTCCTGATGCTGATTGGGTTCGTGGTTTGAACAAAAGATATTTTAGAAATCAAGGGAAATTGGTCTCCGTTGATGCTCACCAGCTTGCTTCAGCCGCCAGGAATCATTGGAGTTCAGAATTGCTCTCTGTTGGCATGAAGGTTTTGGACAAGCTCGAAAAGCTCTACAAGTTTCCCATCAAGAATGCTGAGTCAGTGTTCTGTCGAAGCAGGTGTGTTACCTATATCTGTGAGGTCTCAGTATATCTTTTGCAATCAAAATGTTTGACCTTGAGGAATCATGATGCTGAGAGATTGCACAAATGTGTAACATTTTCAATCGAAAGTATTGTTCCTCTCGTATTTCCTTTGGATTGGAGGAATTCATTGAGGGAGAATTTGATTTCTCTACGACGAACTGATGCTTCAAAGAATGTGCTGAAACAAGTAATTCAGGAGTTTACCAGATCGAAGAATGAGCTATCTTGGGGGCAAATTGGGAAGCTTGTAATGGTCATTCTCGGGACTGGTAAGCTTAATAATGAACTGTATGAGAAGCTTGTGAGAAAACTCAACTGCAACCTGCCATGGCAGGCGTTCATCGAGAATCTCTGTGGGAATATTGAACGTGGAAACACCAGTCAAGAACCAAAAGAGGTGTCTGTAATGCTGAGGTTCCATGAAGCTTTAGCTGGAACTTATAATGTGAACTGGAGGGCTGTGAAGGATTACGTAACACCAGGTTGCTTTCTATACCTTCTAGAGCGCCTTCTGATGTGGGCAACTTGCATTCGGGGTTATGCTATCACTACAAGTTCATGTTTTATCGAGTGGCTTATATACCAAGGGGAAGATACCAGCTTAAGTTTGACGGGGGCTGATGTTCGACCATCTTTGGATGGCATTCTTCGTTTTGTGATTGATGTGGCTCGGGATTGCATTTTCAATAAGGGGGATATGGTTGAATGGATTAAAAAGTCCATCAAAGATTGGAAGAACTACTATTCACTACTTATGGTGAGATTGGTCGTTGTGTTATGCTTGGTTTATGTGAATTTTGGTATCGGTCTAGATTTACTCCATGATTTGCTGGGGAGGAACTATATCACTGAACAGCTGCCGTCAGAGTTTTATGATGCCCTCAAAAGCAGGAGGAGCGGCAAATCTGTTAGGTTAGATGTGAATGTGCTCGCAGCAGCTCTTAAGAAGGTCGGTAATACTTTGGTAATAGCAAGTTTTGGGACCAATTCGGGGTTGTTGTGTTCAGATGCTGTCTTTGTTGACATGATGGCCAACCAGTCTAGGGATGACATATTTAGAAGTTTGTTTCCTAAACCACCCGTCCTAAAAGTTTCGGAAGCTGGATCTTCCAGTCGTGTGCTTTGTGCAACCAATTCTGAGGAGGGGAAGACTGGTGCTGCATTAGATAAGCCATGCGATGCCGAGGAAAGTCACACTATAGATGAGGGAAATTGCGAATCCAACAAGTCTCCAAAGTCTCAGCAAACTGATGCAGCTTCTCTACCGAGTGAGACCATGGACACTCACAATATTGGCGAGGAGAATCGCATACGCAACGAGTCAGATCTGTTGGCTGATGCTGCGTCTGGTTCCCAATGTACCGGAAACAAGGGGAAGACAAAGAACAAGAACAAGAGAGGCAAAAACAAGAAGGGCAGAAAGTAGCCCTCTAGACGTTCTATATATGCTACGTGAATTTTGTTTTGCTGTGCAAGAACTTGATGGTTCCTTTGATATGTATTGTTTTTAACTGGTTACAGTTGGTTGTGAAGACGAAGGCCCTAACCACCAGGGCAATCCGCCACTTGCAAATATTCTCCATTTTATGTAATAAAACTTCTTCAAATTCACGTAGTTTTTTACTGCATACTTGGAGCAGTTTCTCAGCGTGACAATTTCAAATATAATTTGGAAAGGCAAAATTAACAAGTGACCGCACGTTAGGGATGATTTTGAACAACGTTTGATGGTGGGGAACTAATTACCAGTTACAGCATTGTTTTTGACAGAACAATATGTTACACTAAAGGGGTGAGGGAATATATTGGTTTCGAACTCGCCATTTGCGAGATTTGAACCGAAACCCTACTACAGGACTCTGGTACTATGTGGTAATTACGGCGTTGTAAAGGTTGTTAAGTTTAGCAGGCATCCAACTAACCCAAAGTAGGCAGACAGATAAGAGAACTCAGAGCAGAACAAGTGAATTTTGACACCATTCTGTATGCTTTTTGTTAATTTCAAAATTTTGTAATCTTTACACTCTGAAGCAATAACCACCTAACAAGTAACATATCAAACTGTGCTGATTTAAGGCAGCTGAGTTGGCCAACTTCTCAAGATTATATAATTAATCAATCACCTAATTTGTCCAAACTTTGGGATTTAGACATCATCAAAATTTTCATGATCAATTTGTTATAAATTCTTGTCTGACTAACTGCCACTCATTTCCCATGTGAGAGAGATTCAAAGATGGAAGTGACAATGTGGATGGCTTTAGCTACCACCATTTTCACAACCATAATTGCCGTCGCTTCATCGGCAGTGTCTACCGTGACCTTCGTCTTCGGTGACTCCTTGACAGAAGTAGGGAACAACAACTATCCGTCGTATTCTCTTGCAAAGTCAAATTATCCATGGTATGGTGTCGATTATGCCGGTGGTCGAGCTACTGGGAGGTTCACTAATGGAAGAACCATTGGCGACATAATATGTAGTATCCTTACTTCTTATACTACTCATCTGACATCGATATTTTTGTTTTCCTTTGTATCTTCAGGAACTTACTGAATTTTTATATGATTTTTGTAGCCAAAAAGCTTGGGATTCCATCACCACCACCTTATCTATCCTTGGCACAGAATGATGATGCATTGCTTAAAGGGGTTAATTATGCATCTGCTGGAGCAGGAATACTCCATGACACTGGACTATATTTTGTGATCACATTTCTTTCAAAAGTATTAATCCCTCTTATGTTTATGATCACATTGTTGAACCAACAACTTCAGGTGCAGGAGTAAATGCTCTATGATTTTAAATTATTTTGTTATTTTTCTTCGTGATTGATTCAGATAATGTCGTTTGATGGTCAAATACAAAATTTCAGCAAGACAAAGGAAGCCATCAAAGCTAAGATTGGGGCAGAGGCTGCAACCAAGCTCTGCAGTGAAGCCATCAACTTCATTGGAATTGGTACGACAAATGAAATCTTAATTTAGATGAAAAAACTCATTTTCCCCGTAGACATGGGTTGAGTGACTAATTTCCTTGCATTTGAGTTTAAATTTTCTTTTCGTGTAATTAGAGTAGTTCAAACAATTGCTTATATAACTATCCTATATAAGTAGTCAATTTATTGATTTATTCCCTTTGCATATTTTCATGCAGCAATGATTATGTCAACAATTACCTGCAACCATTTTAGCTGATAGTCAGCAGTACACTCATGATGAATTTGTGGAATTATTGATTGGTACATTAGAGGGACAATTTAAGGTTAGTGAACACTATTAGTTAGATAAAAAAAAGGGAAAACAGATAATTTGGATTCGTCTTAAAACCTCTCACACTTTTTCTAGTATTGAGAAGAGAAGTACCATTAAACTAATGGGAACTGAAGCTTGAACATAATCTTTCATTCCAAGCAAACTTCTTGATACAAACTGGTTTTCGTAGACTTGTGAAAAAATACAAGCTTTTCAAGCCGAACATAACAATCTTCAAGTATGGCTTGTTTCTCATTGAGCCAAACGTAGGTTTCACTTGGCTTTTATATACGTTCAACTGAGCTGACATGTAAAAACATTGTACAATTGGTAGAATGAAACTGAATATTCTTGATCACAAAGACGTGGTCACCAAAAATGTTTTGTTTCCGTAAGAAACAAAAGAAACAGAAGCAACATGCAGTTCACATATATTTTGCCCTTGTAGTTAAGATGGCAAAATATATGTCCAGTAGGGCAAACACCTATTTTAGCAGTTAATAAAAAAACATAGAAAGTGGCTACTAACTAAAGCATCCTTTGAACAAATTAAGAAATTCAAATAAAATTAAACACCAAAGAAATAATAAACACAGAAAAGATATGCTTGTACACTTGATCAAATCAACAAAAATAAAAAAACAATTAACAGTGTGAGAAACGACAGCAAGCATACCAGCAGCATGCACAGCCTTCTCCGATGAAGCCATGGGAGCACCTCAATCGGCAACGAAGAAACAGAGAAATCAATCTCCATTCACCAAACAAAGATTCAAACCCAAAACTGCATAATTTATCATAAAATTCGCACAATCGATTCGAGTGCTTCCATTGAACTCTAAGAGATCACATCATCTTTTCAGTAATCGGGATAAAATAAATTCAAAATACAAACACATTTGCAATGAACGAAGACGAAACAACTGTAAGATTGAAAGCAAAAATGAAACCGACCAGTTCTTTTTTCCTCTCCTCTAATTTTTCAAGTATAGCCTTCTTTAAAGCTTCTACGTCATTTTCGGTTCCAACTGTCGTCTTCGGATCAGCAATGGATTCATCTGATTGACCAGATCAACTGGCATCCAATGCGGTTCGTGCATTTTCGAGTTCATATCTCAAATTCCTTTCATTCTCTTCCATCTCCTGATAACAAAAATCATAAATTTTCGGAAAGAGTGTTGGTCTCCATTAACAAAATACGATATACTCAAGTCTCACCATTAGCTTCCTCTTCAGCAAATCTGCTCTTGAATTTTCTCTTGTATTTTGTTTTCACACGATATTGCCCTTTCATATACAACATTCTCTTCCTGCAATGTCACCTCCCTCAACACAAATGCAAATGGGAACTATTAAGAAAGATTAAAACATCGCCTTTTTGATATGCAAACTTAAACTACACTACTCCATAGCCAAAAATAAACAATCACATAAAACCCAGATAGCAAACAAAGAAAACGCATTAAATCAAGGACATCCTTGAATTTTTTAGCACAAAGAACAAATTTTTGATACAAATTATATTGCCACAAAGCGAATACTAATAAGCTTTCAGGAGTGAAACTTATTTACCATGAACATTTCATAAAAAACACAGCCAGAAAAAAAAAATCAAGAGAGGAAGTAAAAATAGAGGTAAAGATCTACCAAGAGATTACAAATTAGCACAAATAAGGAGGTAAAAACTCCCTAATCCAAAAACAGAAGGACTGAAAATTGGCCTAAAAATTTGAGGAATAGTAAATTTACTTGGAACTGGAGGAGAATCTAAGGAAGTTGAAGCGCTGCCTATGATTTTGGGAATTTCAGGTGAAATTTCAGGTGAATCAGCGGGCTTAATCGAAAAGCAATGAAAGATATAGCTTATGGTGAACATGGCCGATAGCTTCCACTTCGACCTTACAAGAATTAGAAAGAAAATTTAACTTGACGAAGAGAGAACTCAAAGATCTGGCTCAATTCATCGTTTAAGAATCGGTCGAACTGTGACTCTGTCACTCCATCTCTAAACAAAAGTAGAAAACCAAACCAAGTTTAAGAAAAATTGTGCGTGCCCAAAGAGAACATTCAACTGTATAAGTGAACCGTAACTCATGCCATTTTAAATTTGACATTCGTGCGTGCCCAATTCGTATCATGTGTCTATGGACATTTAGTTGTAATGCTAAAACTCAAATTTCTGTCCTAAGTATAAAAAAGTTGCGAACATATATATACATCTTGAAATGAAAATTTCACCTGGTGATCCAGCCTAGGAGCATAAAAGTAAACTTTAGTTTTGTGCTTCAACAGCCTCATTCTTTCTTCCTGCAAGATTTCGAACAAATCTGTAAAATAGAGTGAAAAAGTAAAATAATAGATTATCATGGCAAGAACTAAAGAAACAGAAATACAAACTCAACTTCATACTCCCCTAATTAGTTTAATTAACTTAAGTACTTGCCTGAAGGGGTATGAACTTATCCTAAGGAAAGTTGGATAGTGTCAATTTCTCCAAGCACTGTAATCAAAACTGTCTACATTCTAAACCAACATATAGATCTAACCCAAACCAAATTATATGCAGTTTATTTAATAATGCAATCATCTTGCAAACAGAAACAAAAGAGCTCTCTATGAAGCTCTTGATAAACTGATCATATTTCTAAGATCCTTGTCAAGAATCACTTTGTTGAGAACTCCATTGCTCAAATAAGAATATAAATTAATGTACTTATCGGTTTCAAACAATTAAAGTTTTACAAATTCTTTTTCTTGGTCAATGTAGTTTTTTTTTTTTTTTTCACTTCTAAAAACTTGAAAATGAAGGGCAATCATATTGAATAAAGCAACTATCTGAACGTTCATATAATTTTCTATCTTTATGCAATAGCATATCCACTTATTACCATGAGTGTCTTGGGTGAACCACTACTCTAGACCAACCAAAACATCAATTCATTATATTAACTTTTCATAACCATCAATTATCAAAGTGACTTAACCTCTATTTGCATAATATTATCATGATTCAGCAACATCCCTAAACTTTCAAAAACCCAATAGAAACAAAAGCTTACCATCTAACTGAAGAAATTAAAACAAAAGCATAGCAAATTATATACCTCAAAATGTCAAGCAACCAAATTCTTCCTCCAACGACCCAAAATTCTGAAAACTCCAAAAAAAAAGAAAAGGTAAACCCATTAGCAATTCATAGCTTTTATAATAGCAAAAAGTAAAGACGTGGTGACAAGCCATCTCTCTTTTTGCTTATGTATTTGAAAAGATATTTTATAAGCAATTTATGGAGTCATTTTGATCACGTTGCATGTAAATTCCTTTCCACAGAGTTTAAAAAATATGGCATTTTATGGCATCAGTTGAATAACATGGTTGAAAGATTTAAAACTGATACATTCAATTTTTATGTCAAAATATAACATATAGCTAAAGATGTTGGGTCTATATACCCATATCAATCATGTGCTATGAAAAGTTTATTGATGTAAATAGATGATTTCAATCATGTGATAACATAGTTTGCTTCAACCTAAATGCATGTGCATGCAGATGTTTGTTAATGCATCTCTAAGTAGAGGGTTAATCAATTCAAAATACTTCTTTGTCAATTTGCTACTGAACTTTATGATGACCGTCACTTACATTATTTGAATTAGCCAATTTACTCACTCTTGTTAAATTTCTACACATTCCACCTAGTCAGAATAACATTGACAAAACCGATGGCCTCATTTGAACTTCAAAAACAAAATAAGCAAATACAATTTTGATTTGAGATAAGAAAAAAAATGACAGCAACGATGGAAAAGAAGCGACGACCGAGTTTAATAATACAAAAATCATCAACCCTATACTGAAATTCCGAGAAAATACAAACAGTATCTCCAAAGACACTTAATTTGCATGGTTCACAACAGAAAGGGTATAGAAAAGAGGAAAAAATTAGTATTAGAGTTTGGCGGTTGTCACCCAAATTTGGTCGCAATCGAGCACTCTCACCTTCATGCATTCAGTACAATAAGAATTTAAGAATACAACTGAAAGTAAATGAACTAACCCAATGTCAATGGAAATATAAATTGTAACTCACTTACCAAGTGGCATTGATCCTGAGAAACGTTTGATGACTTCTATATTTGACACGGGAAAATGTCAACAGCACAGGCTTGTTAATTTAAGTCGTCAACATCAGAACAGTTCTTCCTCTGGAATTGACTTTCACAAGGGAAAGGATGCTTCTTAGAGAAATGACTTATGTCATAAAGATGGTGACAATCACTCCTGGCAAGTGAAACGCTTGCTTGATCCCTGCTGGATGTAGCTGCCTATTAGAACAAAGCTACACAGCTATACAATATATGCATAGTTTTTCGTTGTTCTAGATTTTTTAAGTTCCTATGTATCTTCTCCTACATCTATGAATCCTAAATAAATACAAATCATACAATGGTTGAATTCATTATGACTTAACGTTATTTATCAAATTGGAAACATCATAACATGCTTTACCTAAAGGATTATATCAAGAAACAGTTGGAAGGAAAAAAAAAATCACATTATAAATCATGACTGAGAGAGGTTTACTTGTAAGGTACTACAGAACCTCAAGGTAAATTCACCGTCACTGTCAAGTAACCTCAAGCTAATTCATACGGCGCAGCAAAGATACACAAAAACCTATTCAACAGTTACATTGCTATTTGGACAATTACAAATAAACAGATGCACAAAAACCTATTATGTAGTACCTAAGTCATGAGTCATGACTGAGAGAGATGATAGTGAAAAGATGATTTGGAGAATCCACTCTCCGTGAGGCAACTGGCTTTCCTCCACTGCATATGGCTTAGTAAGCTGAGACAGAAAGAGCAGAGCAGCATTATAACGACTCACAGGTCTCAGTCTCAAAAACAACAATTGGAGTTTCAAAAGAACATAAAAAGGAGTAACCAGGAAAAAGATTTAAGTCAAGTGAATACCGATATATCAGCAACCCAAACTCCAACAGAATTTAAATAGTACTGGTCCAACATCTTCTCCCTTCGATTTGGCAAATTCGTAAAAACATTTGTACCTGAACAACAACATAAACCATCACTTTCTGCCGTACATTCAGAAATTGATAGTTTTAACGTTTGACCATCCAAATGTTTTCATCGTCAAACAAAAGAAAAAGGAAAAAAAAACTAAATTTATCCAAACACACAGATCAAAGCATGGATCTTTATGTCTTACCCAAAAATGACATAGTGCCCCTATTTGTGATTCTTCAAGTCAATTTCCTTCAACCACCAGAAAAAGTTAAAAGTCAAAAACTTTGACTAAAATTGTACACCGATATCAACGGGGATGATCAAGTCAAATAATTTGGTACCTGGGTCGGGTCGGCCGGATAAGTACAAATTTAGTACTTGTCGTTGACGTTGGCGATTCTGAGAACTTTCTCGGCATCTCCGTCGTCGTGCTTCCGGATTGCGACAATGGGGTCCTGTCGTATGGCCATCGGCAGCACTGAGTAGCCCTCGTAGTCTATGTGCTCTCCGATCAAGTTTACTCTCCCTGAATTCACCGTCCGATCACAAATTCAAACAGGTGCACAAAAAAAATCCACGAGAGAGAGAAAGAGGGACCCACCTGAAGAGCGAGAGAAGAGTTGGGGAGGGTGACCGACCTGCTGGAACTTGGACTTCAGCCGGTGGAATCGGAGCTGGGCCTCGTCGAGATGGGAGGAGTCGCCGTAGACGGCGTCGAGGGTGTTGTGAATTGGGATTGGGAGTTCTTCGTGTTTTGCCATTTGTCTCATCTACTTGATTACCCGAACCCTCTGCAACCACTTAAAGAAAACTCAAAGCCCCCCGTGACGGTGACGGTGACGGTGACGGTGACGCAAGCAAACAAAAACTCCAACATCTGCTTGATGGTCTGCGACTCCATATCAATCGCCTCATCGACCTCCAACGCCTCACGGCTGGGCCGGCTGGCGAGACTGAGAATGGCTAAAAGAGAATCGGTGAGGCATTTGAGGGAAATTACAGAGTGAGAAAAGGGAGGGATGAGGGATTTGATGGATGGTTACAGAGAGAGTGGGGGAGAAGAAAGGAAAAGAACAGGGAATGGAAACGGACGGAACAGAGCAATCCACGATGACTGACGCGAGGGCGGCCTTTTACTGTGCAAAAGCGGTGGTAATTTCGTAAATAAATCATAACTTTTAATCTGAACATGCGGTGGTAATTTTGTAAATAACTCAAAATTCATCCCAAAACACTATTCAAATGAAATGAATAGTGTTTGGGTTAATATTTGAACATTTTATTTAAATGAAAGAAAGCCCAAGGATGTCAATTAAAAGAGGACTTGCCCGAAGCCTAGCATCGAGCCTAGAGGCAAATTGAAGTCTTCCCTGCCAAATACAAGCCACGTGCTTACCATTGAAGTAACAAGAGATGGAGACTAACATATTATCAGCCAAAAAGCACTTTCTAATGGCAGTTCTAGTAAAAAGTTGATGACTCATTACCCTCCAAATGCTTTCGAGTAAGGATAAAGGTTACAGCAATCAGGCAAATTTGCCTATAAAAGGAGGAAAGACCCTAGAGACAAGGACACTCAACCAATCAAACAAACAAACATACAAACTCTGCTCTCAAGCCATATTTGCATCTTAAAGCTGTAATTAGCTCCAATCCTAATCCTTTTTAGGATAATTCCCTACATAAGACATCTTTTATCTAGTTTAAATGCTCTGCTACCTCCTTTAGTGGTGTAGTATTGATTTCCTTGCGTAAACTTGTATACTATCCATCCATTTTTAGCATACAAACCTTGTAAATACAAGGAGAATTGACTACAAAAAGTTCAACCTTGACAGACAAGGTGAAATTTTGCCCGAAGCTCTTTGTTTGTTTTCTGAATTGGTGGATCTATTACTTAATGCATTCTCCAATGTGTATTCAAATTATTTCCATCAGTTTTCCTATATTAAGATCTCATTTGCAGTTGGATTTGGTTAGTTTAATGGATATGTTATCATTAAAATCAATCAAGAACCAAGTAAATGACTTAAAATGCTCTGAACTCCCTTCGTTTGAACATACAAAACTATGAACTAAAAGTCCTTAGTCACAAGGTAAGAAAAAGAACTCAATGTGGATTTAACCCATCCACGACAATCCTTTGATAACAAGAAGTCCAAGTAACTTGGCGCGCAAGTAATCGACTTAAAACACACTTGTTCTACATCTGCTATACTGAGATAGCAGCGGCGCGTCTAACACTTAGTTTTGATTGCGAGCCTTAAGGCCTACACCTAAGGCCCCGTAAAGGCACATTTCAGAACTAACTTTGTCCTCTTCCTGTAGCACATTAACAAGCAAGAGCCCGACTACACATCCAAAGTGCCAATCTATTGGGGAGCTGTGCTGAGGTCCGAGGATCATTCTCCAAGAGAAATCTTTGCCCAGACAAATAGTGCAATTGAAAACCTTACTTTATACTAAAGTAAAGTAATGGTAACAAGTGCCACATATATAAATTTTGAGATCAAAAGTTACATGCATGCCTGCCTATGCCATAAAATTCTAAGCTCAAACAACACTAATCAGTGAATTTTATTTCTCATAGACTTAGAAACCTTAGAAACCACAGAGCCCAACTTTCCCTTCCTCCATGGCCGCCGACCTCTAACTAAGGTTGGGGGTCTATGGTTGACTCCCCTCCTCCTCCTCCTAACCTTCCTCTTTTCTCTCTCGTCCCCTCATTCCTCTCCACTTTCCCTCTCCCAACCCTCTTTCTATTGCATCGCCGTACCCTCCTCTGTTTTTTTTTTACGTCATTCTTCCCCTTTCCCGTCTCTGCCTTTCCCAGCCTCTCATCTTCTCACTCCATGCTGTTACCCCTTGTCTTTTCTCCCTCTCCCTTATCCCGGGCTCCTATCTTTTCCCTCTACCCCCACGGGTTTCCATCGTCCCACATGTGGGCTTTGTCTCGAGGGTTCCTCTGGTGTTCCATTGGATGGCTCTACCATTATGTGGCTTTGGATGGTTTTGGTGGTTGTGGGGTTTAGTGTTGCGCGTTCCAGAAACAAGTTTCGTAGGGTCCCTCCCTTGCTTTGGTGTGGTGGGCTTTCAGATCTGTAGTGTTTTTTTCCTGGGTGGAGTATATTTTGGGTGTTCCCGATGACGACTTCCTAATTGTTCAATGTTTGACATGCAGATCTGTTGCTCATGGTGTTTTGGGCTCCTCGAGGGCTTGCCCTTGGAAATATCATTTCAGTCTATTTAGGTTCGTTATGGTGGTAGGGCTGGTGGTGCGGCGGCGTGGATGGTTCCCTTCACCATCCTTGTCGGTCATCGATACCCTTCATACCGTTACGACCCATACCGAGCGGCGAAACTTCTAATAGTCTTTGGTGTCTTGGGTTTCGCCCCAGCTTCAGCAGGCGTTCCATGCCTTTGTTATCTCTACACGTGACTCTGCTCCAATGTCTTTTGCCAATTATGCACCTATTTCTCCACTGTGGACATGTTGGATTTATTTTATTCGCCCTATGTATGTGGTGGTCACGTGCTTGCAATGGTTGATGTTGTCTTCATTTTTTGTGTTGAGTTTGTGGTCTTGTTTTTAACGATGACCTTTTTTTGGTCTCGCTTGGCAATGATTTTTGGTGGCCTCGCATTGTTGCGTCTATCGTGTTTTTGTAACAGCTTTGTATTGATGACGGTTTATGGGGCTAGGATAGTGATTGTGTTTGCCCTATAGGGGGTTTACTATTGTTTGTTTTACTACGCAAATTCACTTCAGATCAATTTCTTGGTCACTGAAGATTATGTACCCAATTGGCAACCTTTGTAACTGTTTGAGAAGTTGAATGAAATACAATATCATCTCTGTTATAAAAAAAAAGTAATGGGAAAACATCGCCTTTGAAACGTCTAAAGTTAACTATATCACTGAGGATGTGGTGTTTGCTTCAAGGGAAGCAACATTCAATTCTGTGAATGGCGCCGACCCAGTTAATCGGAATTGATGATTTTTCATCAAGTGCTCATTGTTCTATTCAGCCACCAAGAGCACTGATATCAACTAGTTGTACTTAGTAAAGTTTTGCTCTCTTTGTTGCAAGAGAACATTGGAGCCATGAAAAATATTTAAAGTTTTTTCCAGCATATCTTCCTTAATGATAGTCTCCCCCACAAAGTTTCATTTGGGAGCTAATTCTGAACAGTGCAGAGTTATACTTAGCAACCTTCCTAAAATCCTGGATTTTCAAGTGTGGCAACTCATCTCTTGGGAGAATCATTGTTGTCTGGTGATTATATTGTTTCTCAATGCATTGCAAAGAGCTAGTGGATCTTCAACCGTTCGATAGTCGCTCTTTAATACTTCATCGAGGTGGTGACGAATAAAAATCATGGCTTTTGCCCAATCTTGAGATGATACATTGTTTCCTTCCTTGATGGTGTTTCCAAGATTAACAGTGGGCATGGTTTGGTTCATCCTGGTTTCACCCTCGAATCAAAATTGGGGAACCGAAAATTATCAACGTTTCGGTGATGTGAGGTTTCGCTTAAATTTATTACTAAAATCATACAATTCGGTTTACACCGATTCCGGTTTGGTTTATGCCGGTTTACGGTATTAACCAAAATTATATATATATATATATATATTAATCTTCTACTTCCAATACCAAACAAATATTTCCACCACAAATTCAAAAGATAGAAAACCTCATATCAAGACCAAAGTGTACATTTTGAAATCAAACTAAAGTATATAAAATGCATAAAGATAAATGTGGAAAAGAAGATAGGAGAGAGAGGGATGAAAATTAGAATGTGAATTGTGGCTATAATTGAATGAATGAGGTGAAGTAATTACCAAGAATTCGACTTTTGGGGTTGAGAATTTTTTATATAGGTTTTGAGTTTCGGCTTAGTATTTATGTAAAATAAGGGCTAAATAATTAGAGTTAAAGAAAATTAATGTAGACAGTTCGTTGTGATTCCTACGGTTCTTGAGAATTAGAAATCGGAACCAAAACCGTTTTAAATTGATTTGGTTTGGTTCCGGTCCAAGTTTGAATGATTTTGATCAATTCGGTTTTTTTCGGTTTATTTTCGTTTAATTCTGTTCGGTTTCACGGTTTCTCAATTTTATGCCCACCTATATTCAAGATTTCCTGTCTCTAGATGGATGTTGGCATCCACTACCCAGGTAAGGTAGTTTTTTCTAGTGATATCAAAGTCAACAAAATCAAGTTTTGTCAAGTTCGCCATTTTCTTTTTCAGAAAGAAAAATGAAATGTGTAAGAACTTGCAATAACATGGATTATAGAGAAATGTAGTGTTAGAACTTCTGGTTTTTACAAATTTTTCATTTTTGAACTTCATGTCAAAATGATAAGCACTCGAAACTTTAGGCTCGAGATTTACATAATTTAGAATATTAGGTAGTTTGTAATACTCAATACACAAGCACGGCTATCAATATTGAGTACTACTACCAACAAGAAAGAAAATTAATGAGGAAAACGATTGTATTGCACCACTCTCATTGAAATAATAGTGTAGAATGAATGATTATACGACACCACTCAAGCAGCATGAAACTAAATATGCAGTGCATGATGGGCGATTATATCGCACCACCTAAAATTGCAGGATTGCAATAAAATTAAATATGCAGTTCAAGATGGGCGATTGTACTACACCATCTAAGATTGCAATAAAATTAACATAAATAAACACTGAGTTAATAATCAGGAGCTACACTAAACAAGAAATAAAAATATAAGTAATTATTAAATTGAGGACTAGGAGAAGACATGGTGTTAGTTGCTCTTGGCGAGAAAACACCAAGCAGGTGAGGCAGAGAAGGAAGAGGAATAGTAAGATCCTTGGAGAAAGCAATTTTCAGCAAGCAGAACAAGTACGATGTATCACACTGTTTGTTTTTCGTAACTGTATCACAAAAAAAATGCAAGTGAAGAGGGGGAGTGACGCAAGAAAAGCCAAGGGAGTCTCGGGGAGATAGGGTATGATAACTTTGGATTCGCTCAACCAGGGGCAATGGAGCTCGCTCATGTCGCTAATTGTGGATTCGCTCATATGACCAAGCCAAATGCTTGATTTTAGAAGGAGAATTCACTCTCTTCAAATGCACAAGGCAAATACAATTTTAATTCATTCAAATCTACCATTTAAGGCTTTCTAGTACAATATT